CCTGGGAATGCCATGGCCGGCAGCATGCAAGGGGCTACCGTGCTGGGAAGGTCAAGCCGGGCTGCAGTGGGCACCTGTAGCTGCCTGGCAAGCTCGTACCGGGTGCCGCCGGCGCCGGCGCTGCCGCCGCCAGCTGCCGCCTGCTCCGCGCCTTCTGCCGCCTGCTTCCTGAGGCGCTTGACCACCTCGGCCAGGGCCTGCAGGCAGGTCAGCACGCCGGACAGAAGCAAAACAGGGCATCGGCGACAAGCGGGCAAGCGGGCGGCGCCAGCGGTGGCGGCGGGTACACACTGGCACTGGCTGTCGCGCGGGCTCCCTCCGGGGGCTCGGCAGCCGATCGCGGCTGCGATGCACTCGCCTCCGGGTTCACCCCCGCTTCAATCAGAGCAATACAAGTGCTGAGAGTCTCCTTGTCCAGCCCGCAATCAAGCAGCTTGGCAATCTCGTGGGCGTTGTCCAAGGCTCGCGCGGCGTCTCCCATGGTGCTCAGGCGAGGAGGGGCGGCATTGGCGGGGAGCTCAAACAGGACGAGGAGAAGGCACTCTCAAGTGCGGTAGGAGATGCAGGCAGGGTACGAACGGACGCTAGGGACGGCAAAGAAAGCACGTCGAAAGGCTTTTTCCAACAGCGGTGACGGGGCGCCGCCACATAAGCCTCGCCGCCTGGCTGGCCACGTCTGCCCTACCAAGCCATGTCATTTTACTCTGCCCATGAATCGGCCCGCGTGTTGGTGTAGCCTCCCAGGCATGGTGGACTGAAAGAGGGGTCACCCGACTGAAGGTCGGGCAGGGGCCGCTCAAGACTGCAACAAGTGCGCAGGAAAAGACTCACTTTTTCGGAATGGCTCTAATCATGATAATCAAGGCATGGGATTCCAAGCAATGTGGACAGATGAGATGATATTGAATGGTGAGTTCAGAAGGCAAAGGTACTTCAAAAGAAAGGCTGATGATTAGGTTGCGGGTGACGACCGCAGCCAACTTGTGTCTGGTTACGTATTCCGAGCGGCAGGATTGCGCTGCTGCAGAGTCAGCAGCGGTCAGGCCTGCCGTTGCGCTGTGACTGTCTCAAGGGTGGTTGCGCGGTGGACCCTCACTACTTGCCCCCATCGCCGGCAGGCGCTCCAGCATTGAGTGCCGCATCCACCACTGCCTGAAGCAGGCGCACCAGCGCTGCCTCAAACTGCTGGTCGCTGAGCTGTGCCTGCGCAGGTTCCAGGGGCGGGGCAGCCAGGGTCGCCGCTGCTGGTCCTGGCAAGGCTGCAGCTGCCGCTTCTGGCGAAGGTGCCGCTGCTGCTGGTGGAGCCGTAGCTGCAACCTGCGGCGCAGCAGCCTCAGGCTGCGGGGCTGGCGCGACAGGCAGCGCGGCTGCGGACTGTGCCTGCGCGGGCACCGCGGCTGCGGCTTCAGTGGGATGGCCTGAGCTAACCATCTCCCTCAGCCGCTGCAGGGCACAGGGGAAGTGGATAGCGGGTTTCAGTGAACGAGTGGCGGTGGTGTGGTGATCCGCAGGTGGCGCCATATGCATATACAGACTGTACAGGGAGCCAAGCGCACGGTTGCAGTAGCATGGCAGCATGCCCATGGTGGAAACCTTCACCTGCACTTCAAATCGTGCCAGCTGCTCCAGACTGGGCCCAGCGGTGTGTGGCAGGCCCGTGCTCGTGCCGCCAGCCCATGCCGACCTTGCAGGCTGCGCAGCTGCCATTCGAAGCACGGCCGCAAGCTCGGAGGCCGGTGGGCCGAACGGCGGCGGTGGCTGGCTCGCTGGGAGCCACTGGCCAGGCGCAGGCACAGGCGGCTGGCTGGGCGGCACTGTGGCTCCCAAAGCTGCCCCCAGCCTGGCTAAGAGCAACTTCAACGCTTCCTCCTGCTGCTGGTGCCTGTGGTGGTGCTGCTGCAGCTGCTGCGCTTGCTGCACTTGCAAGCGCAATTGCTGCTGCTGTGCCCCTGTCAGCTGCAGAGCCTGCTGGTGCTGGTGGTGGCGGTGCTGGTGCTGGTGCTGGTGCTGCGCTTGCTGCTGCTGTGCCTCTGTCAGCTGCAGAGCCTTTAACAGTAGCTGGCTGGACGGTATTGCCTGCACCGGCAGCGAAGCGTCAAATGCCTGCCGCTGCTCCGGCTGCTGTTGTGCAACTGGCAGGCACTGGTGAAGGAGCGGCAGGTGGTGGTGGTGGTGGTGGTGCTGCTGCTGCTGCATGGCTGGCATCCGCTGGTCCACCAGCGACAGCAGCTGGCTGGGAGGCGATGCTGGCAGCGATGCGGTCGCCGCTACTAGCGGCCCCAGCGTCCGGTGCTCCTGGTGCCTCAGCTTCATGAGACTGCCGAACAGGGATGACAGCAGCCCTAGCTGACTGGAGGCTGAATCGAGCCTCTGCAGGTGCAGTTGCTGAAGCTCTTGCATCTCCTGCAGGGAGCACGCAGGCAGCGAACAGGCAGCAGGCAGGCAATACGTCGACATGGGTGTATCTAGCGTCTGTGGGCTCCTTCTGCCAGGCCTGTGTGCTGGGCACACATTGTACCCGCCTATGGCTGCATGCACAGGCCCTTGCAGCCTGCGATGCCACGCAGAGGCTGCAGCCCTACTAACCCGCAGAGAAGCGAAGCTTAGCATCCCATGTACATGCCCATGCACATGTGGCTGAGCGTCTGCTGCCGCAGCCTGCGTGGCCGCCGTGGCACTGAGCGGCTCTGCACAGCAAGCCATTGGTGCAGCGTGGGGCAGCGGGCGTCAGCTTGTGAGCTGCAAAGCGAGGTCTGCCCCCTTGTGCCCTTCCAAGCACACTGTGGCAGCCCTCACCAGTTGGTGGCTGCAGTGGTTGCTGCGCATCTGCTTCAAAGTGCTGTTGCATCTGTGCCCGATGGCCTCCCGCTGCTGCCTGTGCTGCCAATGTCATGCTCCTTCCCAGCTCTGGCTGTGCCTCCTCGGCCTGCCATGATGGCTCCGGCGGCGGCATGGGAGGGAACCTGGGAGGCATCATATGCATGGCCACGGCGGGTGGCTCACGAGGCGACATCGACGTCGGGTGGACGTCGATGCGGACTAAGGAGCCAGCCCGCTCCACGATCGCTGTTGTGATTGCGCTTGGTCCCATGCCTTGCTGCCTTTACTTTTGCTGCTGCTGTTGCTGCTGCTGCCTGCCAGCCCACGCGCCCCCACCACCGTCGCCGTTGCCGCTGGGGCCGAGCCAAGCCTGGCCCCTTTTGCGCTTCTGCTTGTCCCGCCGCCGCTCATTGTGCTGATCCAGAGCCATCTGGCAGGTGCGCTTGAGGCCCACAAAGGCAGACAGCAGCTGGAAGTGGCCGCACTGCACGGCATGGGCGCATGGAGCTGGGCCAATGGCGGGTTGCTAGGCCTGTGGTGCAAGCTGGCTTGTGCTGAAATCAGACTGGAAGCCCACACCAGGCGCCAACCACTGGCACTCTGGTATACACATTGTCCGTATGCATATGCGAAAATAGAGCGGGTCTGACAGTGCCTACCTTCTGGCAGAAGCGCTGCTGCTGGCCCTCCATCAGGACGCTGGGCATCCGGAAGCAGGCTGCACAAATGTGGTACTTCTGCGTTGCATATGTGGGGCCAGCATATCAATCAATCAATGTTTCGTGCACCACGCCGGCAGCCCCCAGCAATGGTGTGCCCGCGCGGCGGCTCTTCTGGTGTTGCATGCCAATGCAGGCCACATGCTCCTCAGCAGGTTCCGCCTCCATGCATGCATGTGCCACCTCACTTTGTGGTACGAAAGCTTCAGCTCCTGCTCGCACCCTGCCACCTGGCAGCGGTTGGCCAGCAGCCCCACCCGGCGGATGCGGCGGAAGACGGGCGAGCCAGCTTGTGCTTGTGTGGGCTTAAAGTCTGGTAAAGCAAGAACTAGCTTGCAACATAGACTCCCCGCCGAAACGGGACGGGAACCGGGCGAAAGCAGAGAAAGCAATAAAACAGGGGTGGAGCAAGGCGACATGCAACGCAAGCAGCTGACAGGGCACGCATCGAAACGTGTGTATGACTGGCAAAGTGGCATGGCGCATTGGGGAGAAACGCAACGGTACGGGAGCATGGGCTGGCCAAACGGCAGTGCGGAACGCTAGGTCACTAGAAAAGCAGGGAAAGGCGCACTATGTATGCAATGAGGGCAGCCCCGGCTCGGGGCCGTTGAGAAAGCAGTGGGCGGGAGGGGGGAGGCCCCGGTGTGGGCGGGCCCCATCGAGAGGGGATGGGGCGCGCAAGCGGCCAGATGGGGCGGGGCGCGGGCGGCAGTGGAGTCCTGCGGCTGGGTGGGATATAGGGCAATGAGCGTTGAGCAGTGTGCGATGAGCAATGAGCAATGAGCAGTGAGCAGCCCCTCCCTAAACAAAGTGAAGCGCAGGACGGGGTCCGGTGGATGGGAGGCAAGGAAACGCGGGGGGTTGCCACGTGCGCTACCGCCGCCGCCGCAGGCAGCACCCCTGCGGCGGCGGCAGCGGCAGCAAGCCGTGGACCCAAACGCCGTGCCGCCGCCGCCGCAGGCAGCACCCCTGCGACGGCGGCGGCAGCAAGCCGTGGACCGAAACGCCGTGCCGCCGAGTCCCGTGGCTGTGGCCTTCTGGCAGGAAACTACGGCCGCATGTTGCTTGAGACTCTCTAGCTCTCCAACGCTTGTGGTCTACCGTGCATGCCTGAGTAGTACGCATCCATTCATTCATTCAGCACACAGACCGGCCGCCTCTTGCTCGAGGGCGGCCCACTTTGGCCTGGGCAGCCCGGGCCGCCCTCCCCCCCGGGCGCATGTTCGGTGTTGGAGGGGTGTGCCCAGCGATAGGGGGCCCCTGAAGGCATGCGCCGAGGCCGGGAAGCGTGGTTCGGCGCTGCTGCACGCTTGGCGATTTGAACAGAACCACGTGCCGCCGAGCTGCGGCCGCAGTTTCCGGCCCACGGTCTACGGTCGCAGCCACGGACTCGGCAT